TACTGATATAATAGATTAATTCATACCGTTTGTGTGCAAATATAATAATATCACTAACGGACATTTTGATTAATTCATACCATTTCTCTACTGATATAATAGATTAATTCATACCGTTTGTGTGCAAAATATAATAATATCACTAAAGGACATTTTGATTAATTCATACCATTTCTCTACTGATATAATAGATTACTTCATACCGTTTGTGTGCAAATATAATAATATCACTAAAGGACATTTGATTAATTCATACCATTTCTCTACTGATATAATAGATAAATTCATACCGTTTGTGTGCAAATATAATAATATCACTAAAGCACATTTTGATTAATTCATACCATTTCTCTACTGATATAATAGATTAATTCATACCGTTTGTGTGCAAATATAATAATATCACTAAAGGACATTTGATTAATTCATACCGTTTGTGTGCAAATATAATAATATCACTAAAGGACATTTTGATTAATTCATACCATTTCTCTACTGATATAATAGATAAATTCATACCGTTTGTGTGCAAATATAATAATATCACTAAAGGACATTATGATTAATTCATACCATTTCTCTACTGATATAATAGATTAATTCATACCGTTTGTGTGCAAATATAATAATAATCACTAAAGGACATTTGATTAATTCATACCGTTTGTGTGCAAATATAATAATATCACTAAAGGACATTTTGATTAATTCATACCATTTCTCTACTGATATTATAGATTAATTCATACCGTTTGTGTGCAAATATAATAATATCACTAAAGGACATTTGATAAATTCATACCATTTCTCTACTGATATAATAGATTAATTCATACCGTTTGTGTGCAAATATAATAATTCACTAAAGGACATTTTGATTAATTCATACCATTTCTCTACTGATAAAATAGATTACTTCATACCGTTTGTGTGCAAATATAATAATATCACTAAAGACATTTGATTAATTCATACCATTTCTCTACTGATATAATAGATAAATTCATACCGTTTGTGTGCAAATATAATAATATCACTAAAGGAAATTTTGATTAATTCATACGGTATGTGTGCAAATATAATAATATCACTAAAGGACATTTTGATTAATTCATACCATTTCTCTACTGATATAATAGATTAATTCATACCGTTTGTGTGCAAATATAATAATACACTAAAGACATTTTGATTAATTCATACCATTTCTCTACTGATATAATAGATTAATTCATACCGCTTGTGTGCAAATATAATAATATCACTAAAGGACATTTGATAATTCATACCATTTCTCTACTGATATAATAGATTAATTCATACCGTTTGTGTGCAAATATAATAATATCACTAAAGGACATTTTGATTAATTCATACCATTTCTCAACTGATATAATAGATTAATTCATACCGTTTGTGTGCAAATATAATAATATCACTAAAGGACATTTTGATTGTTTCATACCATTTCTCTACTGATATAATAGATAAATACATACCGTTTGTGTGCAAATATAATAATATCACTAAAGGAAACTTTGATTAATTCATACCGTTTGTGTGCAAATATAATAATATCACTAAAGGACATTTGATTAATTCATACCATTTCTCTACTGATATTATAGATTAATTCATACCGTTTGTGTGCAAATATAATATTATCACTAAAGGACATTTTGATTAATCCATACCATTTCACTACTGATATAATAGATTAATTCATACCGTTTGTGTGCAAATATAATAATATCACTAAAGGAAATTTGATTAATTCATTCGCTTGTGTGCAAATATAATAATATCACTAAAGGACATTTTGATTAATTCATACCATTTCTCTACTGATATAATAGATTAATTCATACCGTTTGTGTGCAAATATAATATTATCACTAAAGGACATTTTGATTAATCCATACCATTTCTCTACTGATATAATAGATTAATTCATACCGTTTGTGTGCAAATATAATAATACACTAAAGACATTTTGATTAATTCATACCATTTCTCTACTGATATAATAGATTACTTCATACCGTTTGTGTGCAAATATAATAATATCACTAAAGACATTTTGATTAATTCATACCATTTCTCTACTGATATAATAGATAAATTCATACCGTTTGTGTGCAAATATAATAATATCACTAAAGGAAATTTGATTAATTCATACCGTTTGTGTGCAAATATAATAATATTCACTAAAGGACATTTTGATTAATTCATACCATTTCTCTACTGATATAATAGATAAATTCATACCGTTTGTGTGCAAATATAATAATATCACTAAAGACATTATGATTAATTCATACCATTTCTCTACTGATATAATAGATTAATTCATACCGCTTGTGTGCAAATATAATAATTTCACTAAAGGACATTTTGATTAATTCATACCATTCTCTACTGATATAATAGATTAATTCATACCGTTTGTGTGCAAATATAATGATATCACTAAAGGACATTTTGATTATTTCATACCATTTCTCTACTGATATAATAGATTAATTCATACCGTTTGTGTGCAAATATAATAATATCACTAAAGGAAATTTTGATTAATTCATACCGTTGTGTGCAAATATAATAATATCACTAAAGGACATTTGATTAATTCATACCATTTCTCTACTGATATTATAGATTAATTCATACCGTTTGTGTGCAAATATAATAATATCACTAAAGGACATTTTGATTAATTCATACCATTTCTCTACTGATATAATAGATTAATTCATACCGTTTGTGTGCAAATATAATAATATCACTAAAGGACATTTTGATTAATTCATACCATTTCTCTACTGATATAATAGATTATTCATACCGTTTGTGTGCAAATATAATAATATCACTAAAGGACATTTTGATTAATTCATACCATTTCTCTACTGATATAATAGATTAATTCATACCGTTTGTGTGCAAATATAATAATATCACTAAAGGACATTTTGATTAATTCATACCATTTCTCTACTGATATAATAGATTACTTCATACCGTTTGTGTGCAAATATAATAATATCACTAAAGGACATTTTGATTAATTCATACCATTTCTCTACTGATATAATAGATAAATTCATACCGTTTGTGTGCAAATATAATAATATCACTAAAGGACATTTTGATTAATTCATACCATTTCTCTACTGATATAATAGATAAATTCATACCGTTTGTGTGCAAATATAATAATATCACTAAAGGAAATTTTGATTAATTCATACCGTTTGTGTGCAAATATAATAATATCACTAAAGGACATTTTGATTAATTCATACCATTTCTCTACTGATATAATAGATTAATTCATACCGTTTGTGTGCAAATATAATAATATCACTAAAGGACATTTTGATTAATTCATACCATTTCTTCTACTGATATAATAATTGATTAATTCATACCGTTTGTGTGCAAATATAATAATATCACTAAAGGACATTTTGATTAATTCATACCGTTTGTGTGCAAATATAATAATATCACTAAAGGACATTTTGATTAATTCATACCATTTCTCTACTGATATAATAGATTAATTCATACCGTTTGTGTGCAAATATAATAATATCACTAAAGGACATTTTGATTAATTCATACCATTTCTCTACTGATATAATAGATTAATTCATACCGTTTGTGTGCAAATATAATAATATCACCAAAGGACATTTTGATTAATTCATACCTGAGCAGTTACAAGCTAGCGCAGTAATGCAAACATAGCATGACGTAGTATATGAATTTCTCAGATAAATTAAGCTCAAAAGAAATGCTGATTTTAATTATGATAAAAATCACCCAGGCATAAAACAGCTAAAAATCGGTATTGGCAACATTCGAATAGATGGTCCGTGACAAGTATGAAGACTTAATGTCTTACCAATTTATTGTAAATATTACTGATAAAATTTCAACATACCGCAAAGCCAGACATAGAAAAATGGAAGAAAGCATATATCCAGATATATGAACTGTTTGTGAAAGTTTAAAAGCCATGATATAACTGGGACACAAATCAGCCTGCTGAACTTGAAGATTGGTTACTTTCCAGCAAATGAACATCGCTACTTCTTAAAGATATCAACTTATCACAGTCAGAAGCACATATCATGATGAGGCAGTAATCCAAAACATATAATATCATACAATGTCGCATCTGATTTATTAAATATCTTCACGCGCTGAAGTGCTCCGAACTAGAATCCTAAAAAAAAAAGTGGAACTGCACTTTACATTACAAAAATGAAAGAATGAAACATGGATATTTTGATTTGTTAAACAAAAGAACTAAAGATGTATAGCACTTCTAAACATAAAGAACTTCAGTGCTTACTGGAATATCCACAATGCATCTACCATCTTTCCTCTCGCATATCAGTTGCACTCCATGTATAATTCTTTAAAAAAAATCTTATTAAAGTTTATAAAATACAGAAGGAAAACCACTGAACGAATGTAATAAATACTACACCACGAATAGGCTCATTAGTAATTAATAATGAATTTCCAATAAATAAAACAAAGAAGAACAAGAACAGGAAGGTACTACTACTTTAGAACGCAATACAGGAAGAGAGGGAACTGTTCATTTCTAAATTCAGGAAAACTTGATTCCTAGAATCAAGTTTTCCTGAATTTGGTGTGATTTTTTCCACAGTTTTCTGAAACAGTAGACAGAATCTCTCACCTTTCCTAAGATGTTCAGGAAAGAGGTACCGTTTCATTGCTTCGATAAACAACGTACCCATCCACACAAAAAATACCTCATCACATGTTTGAACCTAATCTGTGATATGGCCGAAATGTAACCCGCAACGAAACAACGCATCCCATTTGCACTATTGAAAGGAATATGCATTCAGTAATATTTTGAGTTAACGCAACATGAAGTGAAGCGACATCAAATAGAATGACGTCCCATCCAGAAGGGCATTTTTTGAATATTGAAGCTTTTGTCCAAGACAGAAATGATAAAGGTTAAAGTGGAAGCTTTGATTTGTTACCATTGTATTTTGAGTGATAAATCAAAGCAGGTTGTGTTTATTCATTGGATATGTATTAAAACAAACTAATCGACTTAATTTAATTAACTAGTATTATTTTGTCTGGCGAGTTACAACTGCTGTCTTTTTATGTCATTTACATATGCAATTTCTACGAACTTTACTTAATCGAAGTGACAGCAATTCAGCAATAACATTTCCGGAAGTTTTGACAAAATAAAAGTATTCTGTGGTTTGTTAAATTGATCTTAACCGGAGTGATTTAAAAGGTTTTTGGATTGGCGCGTTTTTTGAATATTTGTCTGTAGATATAAGCAATTTTTTTTTTTGTAACTTGTTTACCATCACGCTACAATCAATCTATGAACGAACATTTCTCATCTTTTATGGCTTTTTTATCTAATCTCAACCATTTTATCCTTTATAGTTTAAGGTTAAAATGGAATCCTTTAGTCTTCCGGTAACTTATATTGGTAGAGTAACAACACTAGATTCAAACAGAGTTCAGAAAATCCAAAGGGAGCTTGAAGAAGTAATAAAAATTGTTCGAAGTGATATCGATCGTATCATTGAGCGTGAAGGTCGGCTGAAGAATCTAACCGTACGCGCCGGTAATTTCTTTTTCAGGACTTTCACAGATTCTTAAAGTATTTGAATGTATATTTTTAAGGCAGAGGAAAATTCCAACGTCAGAAATATCTATAGATCATAATTGCATATTTAGTTAATTTTTCTTGACTAATCTAAGAAAAACCACAACTTTTATTTCATAACTTTATGCTATTATAGTGCGATATTTTACAGTGCGATGTATTTTAGAAAAATCTTTTCAACTTTATAAGAGCCTGCAAATTTCCTATGGCATTTCTAATCCCATTTCTATTGATTTAATCATTAAGGCAGTGCTTTTCTTAACTATAAGTGTAAGGTGTGATATCTTTATTTCTGTATTCATATTTTAGACGAGATGGAAGCTCGAGCAGGACAGTTTTCACGCAAGGCAATTCAAGTTAGACGTAACATATGGTGGCGTGGTGCACGTCTGACGATTACCATCGTTTGTACTTGTATGCTCTTCGTCGTCGGTATCATTGGTTAGTTGACTGTTATTTTGAACTTATTTCCAATAACATTTTAATTAATGAATGAATTTAAATATATGGTTTTTCGAGACAATCCTAACCATACTTGGATTTTTAGAATCACATAAAGATACAATTCTGCCATTAATAATTCGATTGATGGCAAATTCGCAGAATGGTAATATTCGTTTGAAATCCCAGATTGTAATTATTAGGAACAAGTAAAACCTGTATAGTAGGATTTTGGCTTACAATGCTTGGAGCAAATTATATTACCAGATATCCTAGTTTCAGTTCTTTCGATAAATGCGAAGAATAATAATGACTCTCCGTAATATGCATGATATGTCTAATTTGGTTTCTTATATATCTATATCTTTTAAGGATTTTCCACAGAAGTAATGTAATATTTCAATTTTGCATATGTGTAAAATTATTTTTAAGCTTTCTCAGGTTGTTTATTTTAATACTAGTAAACTTCAGCATTATTAGCTGTTGATAATGCTTAACATTAGATTTTTTCCTGTATTGCATCAGTGAATGTCTATAGGAAATAAGAAATGTTTTTTATTTTAAAATCACAAAAATATAATTTGTTTTTTCAATTTTGTGTCGAGATTTAAAAATTAACAAGACACATATGAATTATTGAAATCTTTTATACATCTGGGAAGCATGTTACAGACCAACAAATTTTCTTATGCAATGAACAATATAGTAGGTATATACAACGTTTGTTTATCGATAATAGGAATATTTAAATTCCTAAAAAGTGTGAGGTTGAACTTTTCACATTGCTATCTGTGTTGTAGATGAAATGTTTAAAGATTGAGGTTCTAGATTCCCTCAATCTGTTTGTCGTTTGTTATTTCGAATCTTTCTATTAACTTCTAAAATATTTTTAAGACAAAAATATGAAAATTATTGTGTTGTCCTATAAAGGTTTACATTAGTTTTTTTTCTGTATTGCATCAGTGAATGTCTATAGGAAATAAAAAATGTTTTTTTACAGAAATTATATATTGATTTCAAGAAAAAATTAAGCACGTCTAACTGGTAGTCATCAGTTGATGTCTGAGATGAAAACAAATAGTGACAATATCCTCCCATTAGGGTCATTTGCATAATCGAAAATTCATCGCAAGTTTTTCTAGTTACTCTGCTGATTAATTGTGTGAGGTGAATCGTTTGTAAAAAAAGAAATTTATTTAACAAATAGCAGGAAACGTTGGTAATTAACGAATATGTCTACTTTGGTAGCTATGGTTTTAGCTCTTGCACTCTTCTGCTGATTTTTGAGAAACCAAAAATTAGGTGAATTCTGAAATTTTTATAAATTTTTGTTAAACATATTTATAAAACTAACATCTGCTTATGCGACTGATATAATGATCCATAGGTACTGCGTGTAGTTCTTGATACATCAATTTCTTGTATTGCTCTTGAAAAATTTTTACCATTAAAAATATGAAGTGGAACGATGCAGAAGTGTTATGGATAATCTTAACTGCATATGTGATTCTCAAAAAACTTTGAAGATAATTTTTCAAAACGGAGCCGAAATTGGGAGTGATATCTATGCAAAGGAAGATTGATCATATGGAATTTTTGATATCTCTCTCATAGTAAGAACTTTTGGGTAGATTCAGAAGGACTCAATATACTCTCCCAAACTCAGTCTAAAGTTATTTAGATTGAGAAGCACTTGACAGTGAGTAATATTGAAGCAATCCAGTTGTCATAAGTTTTTTTTTTTGAGAGCTCATCTTACTCTTTTTATTAGCATAGAGACTTGCCTTTTTTTGTTACATGGAATAAAGCAGGTTTGCAGAGGTTTATAATTAGTTTGTACACGGTTTGTAATTGTTTGTAAATGGCTTGCAGTTGATTTGTAACGGTTTGTAAATAAATTGTAATTTGCAATAAATTGATTATAATAGAGTTTTTTTGAAGCCAGATACTAATCTGACATTGTTTTTGAAATGCTGGTAACGTGATGAAATAATGAGAAAGCGAAATGATTTAGATATGATATAGATAGATTTATATAGAAATGAGTTGCATTAGTTTGATTATGCATTAAAAGTGATTGGAGTCATTCAGTTAACGTTTTCAGTCATTTTGAGCGTAGGGATCTTGTGTCAATCTAATCGTGAATTATGATGAATAAATTTATCATATTATTATTTTCATTTAGTTCGACCTGCTCCTGCACTTTGTTTCAACAAAGCCAACGTGATCCAAATACACTTGCAAAACACACTTGTCCCTGAAAGAACAAAAGAGTTTAAAAATTGGTAAAAAATGTGACATCAATAAAGGCTGTATTTTGTCTACTATCACTATGCGATGATAAAAGTAAATATTCATAAATATCAAAACAGAGTACAAACAGTAACATTACTATGAAAATAGTATGTTATAATGAGGATAGAAAAAATTTTAATTTCGTATCCTAAATAACTGATTATTCACTTCTTTGTTCTTTAAGTTTTGATAATGCCATTTCTGTCACACCTTATCAACTCACAATCTTTCAATCATAATCTTTTTGAATTATTAGAACATAGCAAAACACAAAACGTTACACTATCAGATAACGAAGTTTGTCGCGAATTATAACATCGCGAAAACTCCTATCTAATCTAAAAATAATCCCATAATATCATAAATATTCTCTACATAAATCTAATTTCTTAAGATTTTTCACATGTAATTTTCATCATAGATACGTTCAGTTCTCACATTGTAAATTCTCAATTTTTTAGACACTTCCGACTCTTCAGACATTGTAAAACAATCTTACAGTATCTTAAATTATCTCTCTTTAAATCTAGTTTTTTTGGTTTATTACACATGTAATCTCATATCATAAATTCTTAATTCTCATGAACATTTCAGATTCTTCACATTATCTTAGACACGCCCAATTACCACTCATATAAAATTCAATCTAAAAAATTACAATTATTATTTGTCTTTAAGGTCGATTACTACTCCGGTTAACCAATTTCAATTCCTCCGGTCTTCTTTTATAAATTTCTTCTCTTTTTTTTATTGCTCGGTTTGTTAACATTACGTTCTAGAAAAATAAAGGTTTATTAATCTTCCTACTGTATTGCAACTATTCGAGTATCAACCAGACAACCTTTCACGACAAAGTTAGTAATTTTTTTTTCAATAACGTAACACTTACCTTATAACTATTTAGCATTCGCTAAAAAAATGAATGCATTGGTAAATAAGTATTAGGTAAATAAGTATTTATGCTAAAATAAAAGACGAGAAGAATGGATGGTAATAAAACTAATTATAATTCTATTTCTTCCATTGTTTTATGACGATACACCTTCATATATATGTATTTTGATCACTGACAAATTATAAAAAGTTTCGATTAAAAATCCGATTAAATTTATCTACATGAAGTATTGCTAATTGTTTCATCCGATTTCATTGGAATTTTTATTTCATTAGAAATTAAAATCTAACTCATCAAAAGACTTTAATCAAAAGTTTGCATTTTTTTTATTCTTATTACTAATAAATATTTCATGATTTGTTAATATGATTTTATATGATTTTTTCGATAATCTTATCAAATGATAAATCATTTGTATATATATTGACCTTTAAAATTCTTATTTTTATTGTTTTTGTAGTGTAAGAAAAAAAGACATTGTCATATTAGAAAAACAAAAAAACGCATAAGAATGCGTAATTATATGCGTGGTTACTTTAAATACAGAGAAAAATTATAAAAATATAATTGCTGTTCACAACTTCTCTCATTTCCATCATTCCTTTCAGTAGCCATCGTTCGAATTAGCATCATTCATCCGGATGATTATTATTAAATCAGATGATTATTTACGCTGAGATACTTAAAATGATCTGAGAAATGAGAAGACTATTTCAATGTAAAAATAAAGAAAAATAATGATTCAAAATTCAAACAGAAGGATTAAAATTTACAGCAGCTCACTTTTACCATTTGATTGGAAGTTTCAAAATAATCTCTGGTAATATCCATCACCGAAAGAGTCTTATAACAAGCATTCTTGACGGAAATTATCGGAGCATATGTCACCAATGGGAAATGAATACGTGGATATGGCATCAAATTTCATTTTTTGTTAATAATTAGCTTTAAAATTCAAGAAATTTTTTATACATTTAAACATGTACTGATACCATTTGACGTGAATTTGATGAACTTTTTGGTCAGAAGAGTAGATGATTTAGATTAGTTCTTAACTTATTTTAAGTTTGTAGAATTTGAACTGAATCTTTTGCTTTTTATCTTCGAGCGAGATAGACCCAGATACGGTCCCAGATACGGTTTTTTAACAAATATATATTTAAAGATGTAGGAAGTGGGCTGGCTTGGCAGATTAGCATTTAGAATTTGGAGTTTAAATAAAGGATTCATTGTTTCAAAAGAATGAGACATAACAAAGAAATAGCTAATTGTTTATAATAATGAATGATTAGCATTATTCTAAACACTTAATGTATAATAAAAATTTTTCGACATGCCGAGCTAATTGGATAGATGCCTTACTTCCTCCAATTTTTCTTCCCCTTCTTCTTTCTTTCATTATAAGCCCACTCCCAATACATTTAACAATATTAAATTCATCCAATCTCAAATAACTAACCAATGATGAATGATAAGCACATATCATCCAATCAGACTTCAGCGTGCGGAAGCAAGCCATGTATCGGATTTTAGCATCGCGAAGCACTAAATGAATGTTAACAATGCTTAATATAGCAATCCACTGATATCTTTTACAATTCATTGTAATGGTTTAACTGACCTTTGACCTTATATCAATTCATATACAATGAGCATCTATCATGTAATGTCTATTGCAACTCATAGCCACTTATCATAAATAATGTCTAGACAACTCATTGTACTTTCTTTCGTGATATCCATTTTTAAACTTATTGTTAAAGTTACTTACTATCATCCTTTGTACAAGAATGTTAATTATAAACCACTCCCACATCTTAACACATATCATGTAAGATAATTGCTATATAAAGATCACCTTTTTTAAAAGATTTAGTATATGTGTAATTTGTCGCCAAGGACCGACGATTCCAATTTCAGTTGTTCTCTATCAACGTATTGTCCTATTACTTCTGCTAATAAAGAACTTGGATTATATTTCTGTTACTTCACTCATTTACATTTACATTTACTTACAAGACAATCTCCCTGCGATCAAACACCTCTCCCAATATTAATAATTAAACAATCAAATCCTTCCACGACAAGCCATTGTCTCGTTCTACTAAATTTTCTTCAAAACCAATGAATAAT